ACCAACAATACACATAGAAACATTCATACACATCATAGAGGCTTTTTGACCAATCGCATCACGGACTTGAGGACGTCTCAGACATGCGAGCGGGTAGCGCCGCAGGGGTCCTAACATCAAACCAAGCAATGTCTTGGCCAACTACAGCTTGTAAGTACTTAACTCTCAACCTCGTCACTTGATTTTCAGAAAAATATGAAAAACAAGCGTTGAAAATGGAGGCAGCCACGAAAGAAATCGCGCCCAATACGCACATTTCCCAAGCAACCTTGGATATCCTATGCATGAAACCGGCAATGCCACCAGCAGCAGCATCAGCAAAGTTGCCAAACAAGAGCGAGAACAGTGGCATCAGAGCACCGTTTATCAAGGCGGCCGTGACACCTATGGCAAGGATGATCTTGTCGTGTTTATCGGCCAGAGCGAACAGAGTGAAATAAGAAACCGACTTGTTGTCCTCAACTCGAACATTGTTAGGGTCATCAACATCATCAGTAGTAGAACCGTTGTTATCAACAGCAGTAGCCTTCTTGCCGAAGAACTTCTTAGCGAAGAAACATTTATTATTGCCTTTACCGTTAGCTCCCATGTTTCGGTGCTGCTGCTAGAAAGGCTTGTGAACACAAGAAACAACAAAATCTCCTAACAGGAGTGGAACTAAGATAATAATCATAACTCAAAGAGTTCGCAGTAATGCAGGCCGCCACCGACAACACTTTCTCTACGCAGTACTCAGAAACGGATGATATCCCCGCCACGCTATAAGGACAGAACACAACGGCCTGTCCCTTTATCGGGTGTTGGCACATAAGCCGCCGTCGAAGAGTGAGCCGTATGGATAACGCAAGTTTTCAAGTGCAGCATTTTAGTTCCAGTACCACACCCAAACCACTGTTGCTATTGTTGTTATAGCCCCAACCACACCCAAGCCACTGTTGCTATAGTTGTAGTAACCCGAACCGCTGCTGATGCTGTTGTAGTAGCCCGAACCACTGTTGCTTTTGTTGTTATAGCCCCAACCACACCCAAACCACTGTTGTTATTGTTGTTATAGCCCCAACCACACCCAAGCCACTGTTGTTATTGTTGTAGTAGCCCAAACCACTGTTGTTATTGTTGTAATAGCCCCAACCACACCCAAACCACTGTTGCTATTGTTGTGATAGCCCCAACTACTGCTGATGTTGTTGTAGTAGCCCAAACCACTGTTGCTATTGTTGTTATAGCCCCAACCACACCCAAACCACTGTTGTTATTGTTGTAGTAGCCCAAACCACTGTTGTGATTGTTGTAATAGCCCCAACCACACCCAAACCACTGTTGCTATTGTTGTGATAGCCCCAGCTACTGCTGATGTTGTAGTAGTAGCCCAAACCACTGTTGTTATTGTTGTTATAGCCCCAACCACACCCAAACCACTGTTGTTATTGTTGTAGTAGCCCAAACCACTGTTGTTATTGTTGTAATAGCCCCAACCACACCCAAACCACTGTTGCTATTGTTGTGATAGCCCCAACTACTGCTGATGTTGTTGTAGTAGCCCAAACCACTGTTGCTATTGTTGTGATAGCCCCAACTACTGATGATGCTCTGATGATGCTCTGATGATGCTACTGATGACGCTACTGATGATGTATCCTCTGTGCTGGAGCAACTGGCTCTGGTCCGGTTGATGACACAAGACTGGTTGGTATGATGGGTATCTAACTGCCCTTTTGGGGTACATCTGACCGTAATACGCACATGGCGTCACGGTCTCTCTCTCTAGTTACACACACACTGATGATGATGCTGTTGTAGTAGCCCAAACCACTGTTGCTGTTGCTGTAGTAGCCCTAACCACAACCAAACCACTGTTGTTATTGCTGTAGTAGTCCAAACCACCGTTGCTAGTGTTGTAGTAACCCAAGCCACTGTTGTTATTGTTGTAGTAGCCCAAACCACTGTTGTTATTGTTGTAGTAGCCCAAACCACTGTTGCTATTGCTGTAGTAGCTCAAAACACTGTTGCTATTGCTGTAGTAGCTCAAACCACTGTTGCTATAGTTGTAGTAACCCGAACCGCTGCTGATGCTGTTGTAGTAGCCCGAACCACTGTTGTTATTGTTGTAATAGCCCCAACCACACCCAAACCACTGTTGTTATTGTTGTAATAGCCCCAACCACACCCAAACCACTGTTGCTATTGTTGTGATAGCCCCAACTACTGCTGATGTTGTTGTAGTAGCCCAAACCACTGTCGCTATTGTTGTTATAGCCCCAACCACACCCAAGCCACTGTTGTTATTGTTGTAGTAGCCCAAACCACTGTTGCTATTGTTGTAGTAGCCCAGACCACTGTTGCTATTGTTGTTATAGCCCCAACCACACCCAAGCCACTGTTGCTATAGTTGTAGTAACCCGAACCGCTGCTGATGCTGTTGTAGTAGCCCGAACAACTGTTGCTATTGTTGTTATAGCCCCAACCACACCCAAACCACTGTTGTTATTGTTGTAGTAACCCAAACCACTGTTGTTATTGTTGTAGTAGCCCAAACCACTGTTGCTATTGTTGTTATAGCCCCAACCACACCCAAGCCACTGTTGCTATAGTTGTAGTAACCCGAACCGCTGCTGATGCTGTTGTAGTAGCCCGAACCACTGTTGCTATTGTTGTTATAGCCCCAACCACACCCAAACCACTGTTGTTATTGTTGTAGTAGCCCAAACCACTGTTGTTATTGTTGTAATAGCCCCAACCACACCCAAACCACTGTTGCTATTGTTGTGATAGCCCCAACTACTGCTGATGTTGTTGTAGTAGCCCAAACCACTGTTGCTATTGTTGTTATAGCCCCAACCACACCCAAACCACTGTTGTTATTGTTGTAGTAGCCCAAACCACTGTTGTGATTGTTGTAATAGCCCCAACCACACCCAAACCACTGTTGCTATTGTTGTGATAGCCCCAACTACTGCTGATGTTGTTGTAGTAGCCCAAACCACTGTTGCTATTGTTGTTATAGCCCCAATCACACCCAAACCACTGTTGTTATTGTTGTAGTAGCCCAAACCACTGTTGTTATTGTTGTAGTAGCCCAAACCACTGTTGTTATTGTTGTAGTAGCCCAAACCACTGTTGTTATTGTTGTAATAGCCCCAACCACACCCAAACCACTGTTGCTATTGTTGTGATAGCCCCAACTACTGCTGATGTTGTAGTAGTAGCTCAAACAACTGTTGCTATTGTTGTTATAGCCCCAACCACACCCAAACCACTGTTGTTATTGTTGTAGTAGCCCGAACCACTGTTGTTATTGTTGTAATAGCCCCAACCACACCCAAACCACTGTTGCTATTGTTGTGATAGCCCCAACTACTGCTGATGTTGTTGTAGTAGCCCAAACCACTGTTGCTATTGTTGTTATAGCCCCAACCAGACCCAAATCACTGTTGCTATTGCTGTAGTAGCCCTAACCACAACCAAACCACTGTTGTTATTGTTGTGATAGCCCCAACTACTGATGATGCTCTGATGATGCTACTGATGACGCTACTGATGATGTAGCCTCTGTGCTGGAGCAACTGGCTCTGGTCCGGTTGATGACACAAGACTGGTTGGTATGATGGGTATCTAACTGCCCTTTTGGGGTACATCTGACCGTAATACGCACATGGCGTCACGGTCTCTCTCTCTAGTTACACACACACTGATGATGATGCTGTTGTAGTAGCCCAAACCACTGTTGCTGTTGCTGTAGTAGCCCTAACCACAACCAAACCACTGTTGTTATTGCTGTAGTAGTCCAAACCACCGTTGCTAGTGTTGTAGTAACCCAAGCCACTGTTGTTATTGTTGTAGTAGCCCAAACCACTGTTGTTATTGTTGAAGTAGCCCAAACCACTGTTGTTATTGTTGTAATAGCCCCCACCACACCCAAGCCACTGTTGTTATTGTTGTAGTA